GCCACGATGACCTGAATTCCACTCCCTTGGAAAACGCAAGGCATGGTAATGTGTGCTTATATTCCCTGTGTTGGGGAGGCAGAGACATATGGATCCCTGAGGCTCACTTGTCAGCCAGTCAAGTATCATTTGGGAGCCCTGGGTTCCAGGGGGAGACCCTGTTTCAAAACACGAGGTGGCCAACTCCTGAAGAACAACACCCCAGGCTGACTTCTGGCTACCATACATAATTGCATACGTGTACACATACACAACCCCCCCCCACAAACTTGTGGGAATAATTACAACACTCCTTTTAAAAACACCTCTATTTCATGTGGGTGGCACACTGCGAGGGTGTGTAATGACCTAAGGCCGAGGAACAATGTTAGTAACAAAGCAAGGGTTCCAACTGCCTTGTGAAGTGTGAATTATTGGAAAGGACAACCGGTTCAGACAGTCCACATTTAAAGTCACACAAAATAATGAAGCAAAGAGTCCTATTCAAGTGCTCTTGCTAGGATTTATCAGGATGTTTCAATGACTTAGACAGGACATCAGGTACTTTCTAGATTCAAAAATACTATGTGTGCAATCACTGTTCTGTTTATTATGAACATACTGAAATCTAAGCACACAGGACAGCAAAGAATAATCCATTGTTTTCCACTTGGGGAACAAGCAGCTCAAAACCATGACAGTTTCATGATGCCATTCCTAATTTTTGGAAAAGAAACTCTCTGTGAAGGAAAGAAGGTCAAGTTGTTCATGGTTCCACCCTCAAGTACAAACATTTTAAACCTGTTACATTCGAAAGAATGCTGCTCCCAACTCCATGGCCCTTCCAAAGGAACAGAACTAGCCTTGAGTCGAAAATAAAAAAAAAATAAATAAAAAGGATCCCTGAGGGGGAAAGTCTATGGTACTTGGACTGCGGCACTCCCTTTCTCATCTCCTAACAGAACAAAGTACAAACGAAGAAGCAACAAACAGCTCACAGAGCCTTGGCCAACTGTCTACTTCTTCACAATATGCCCACACCTTAAACAAACACAAAACACTGTAACTAGCTATAGTCACAAGATCAGGCATGATGTCAGAAACCCACCAAGTTCAAAATGCCTGTTTCAAAATGGATATTTTTTCTGGCAAACACCCAACCAACAGATCAGGGAAAGTGTATTATTAAGAGACAATCAATACTAAAGGGTTTGAAGCCTAGAAATTATCCTGTATGTGAGCAACAAGCCATAATCAGAATTCACTGTGCGTGTATAGTCCTTTAGATCTTTTTAAAAAGCTGTTCAGTTGTACATGGTCATAATCATGATGCCGCTGTGCTAGGGTAGCATCTCTCTTGTTGGCCAAAGCAACAGACAGACTCAGAAGAATAAAGGAATCCAAGGGGGCAGAGCGTCAGCAGCAAAGCACGCACTTTTACACTCATGGGTCCATAGGAAGCACATGAATGGAGGCTCTGACCTGGAACCAACTAACTCTACACTTAGGGTGAAAGCTCGGGGCAGACTGAAAGGTTGGGTCAATTCATCATTTTTATGGGTTGTATACACAAAAAGATGTCCATTCTGTTTGAAACAATAGGACCCTGAATTAAAGTGAGTGTGCTCACACACTGTACAGAGCAAAGGTTCAGCGTGCCAATATCCTCAGACCAGACTTTTAAATCCAATAATTTCATGTTAGTGATTCTTACAAACATTCCACTTTGATACTGAACAATAATATAATGGTAACAGTCACCCTTATGATGGGCCCAAGTCCTATGACAACCCCATTCCACACTTCACCACGGGAACCGATGTGCCAAGCATTGTTTTTACCACTTTTCAGGTAAAGAAATTGAAGCTCATGAAGATTGGGGAGCTTGCCAAAGTCACATAGCTAAATAAGATATAACAAAGCAAACTCACACCCCAATTAATCTATGCTACTTCTACCTCACAGATAAGAAACTATGAACCCTAATCTCTTATCTATCCACTCTTCAACCTCTCTTCTCTAAGGCTATGCAGGGACATCATATGGTGAACTTTGGCCCTTCATCCATGCATCAAATGTGGATTCATCTTAATACTTCCCTCAGTCCTTTACTTGTTTAGCTTTTTCTATGTGCTAGGTTCTATATCCTAGGTGCTAAGAATTCGTTAATTAACAATGCAGACAGAACTCTTCCCCTGTGGAGGTAAAATTCTAGAGAAGGCAGAAAGACACAATGTACAGAAGAAATAAGAACAATAGCAATGGTACAAAGGTAAGTATTGAGGACAATAGTACAGGGGAAAATAGATACCAAATATAAAGCTTTATGAAAACATAACTTTAGGGTTGTGAGAACATGCCACTAGAGCAAAGACTTTTTGAAAGGCAGCAGTTTTAGGTGTCTTAACTGGGCTACAGTGCACCATTTATTAATCAAACACAAATGCAGGGTTTTCTTTGTGAGCATTTGGGGGGGTAAGAATTATATCTATATGTCTTGACTCTGAATAAAAGAGGCAATCCTCAATAATGTGAGTGGACCTCAAGAAATCTATCAAAAGGCTTAATAATAGAATCAAAATCAAGGTTTCCCTGGGGAAGAAATCCTGCCTCAAGATTCCAACATCAACTCTTATCTTAGAGTAGTAGTTCTCAACCTATGGGTCACGACCCCTTTGGAATCAAGAGACTCTGTCACAGGGGTCACATATCAGGTATTTACATTCATAACAATAGCAAAATTACAGCTATGAAGTAGCAATTTTATGGTTTGGGGGTCACCACAATAAGAGGAACTGTGCATTAGCAAGGTTGGAAACCACTGCCATAGAGTTCAGACGACCTGCCTGCCCCACAGGGTTCAGACTCTCCAGCCCCAACAATTACATATGACACTTCCATGAAATGAATCTCCTAGTATTTTTCAATTGTGTGTGTATACTATCATACATATGCATGCATATATCCTACATACATACGTATCTAGTATTTACAACTACATATGCCTGCTGTGTATAAAGCATACCTAAGCAGGCACATATATATATGTGCCTCTCACTTCTCACTCACACATGAAGTACTTAACACAAGAAACAAAGCGAAAGTACACTGTATTAGACATTAAGATGCTGACGGACAACAGTGACCAAGTCAGATGTGACTCTTATAAGCCTGAAGTTTACGGACCAAACGTAGGAACTAACAACTGACCTGTCTCCTCTGGGATCCTCAGGCCCTTCCTAGATTCACTTGCTTTACTCACCACCCTTAGCTCACGATCAACGTTTTTTGTTTTGTTTTGTTTTTTGAGACAGGTTTTCTCTGTGTAGCCGGGGCTGTTGGGGGAACTTGCTCTGTAGATCAGGCTGGACTTGAACTCACAGAGATCCACCTGCCTCTGCCTCCTGAGTGCTGCTGGAATTAAAGGTGAGTGCCACAGTCTCCCCACTTTCATAATCAATATTTCAACTTTTCTTTCTTTTATTTTTTTCAATAGTTCTAGTTGTGTGGGTTTTCTGCCAGTGAGCACAGTGGTGGTAGAAATCAGAGCAGGATGCTCGATCCTCTGGAGCTGGAGTTACAGGCTGGAATTTAACCAGAGTCCTCTATGAGAGCAGTAAGTACTCTTGGCCAGCCAGTCATCTCCCCAGCCCTTATACCTTAACTAGCATTTCTAATTGCCTTGCCCTTTTATTACACAGTCCACACTGATATTATCATTATTATCATTACCACTGCTGCCATCGTTATCATTATCATTACCATTGCACTTTTAGGGTGTTCACAGAGCTTAGAAACCTTGTCTACAGGTCTTTTGAATTGCCTTAATAAAAACTATCAAGTAGGGAGAAGTGATAATATCCTTTTCACAGAGACTCTCAGAGGTAACCTAATCTGCAAGAGACTACAGAATCAACAAAGCCAAGCTCCCAAGCCATCTCATTCTTTTCTTTTTCCTATCTATCTATCTATCTATCTATCTATCTATCTATCTATCTATCTATCTATCTACCTACCTACCTACCTACCTATCATTTATTTTTATTTTTCAATACGGGGTTTCTTTGCATAGACTTGGCTGTCCTGGAACTTGCTCTGTAGACCAGGCTGGAACTCACAGAGATCTGCCTGTCTCTGCCTCCAGGAGTGCTGGGATTAAAGACATGCGCCACCCCTATGCCACCTCTGTCCCACTGCCCCTGCCCCTTCTAACCACCTCCTCCACTTACTTCTTCAACAATGTCTTTTTATAAAATAATGTATGCCCACTTCTTTGTCACTGACCTTTTTTGAATCTAGGGTTTTAAGTATGCTAGGCAAGGATTCTACCATGGAGCAATACCTCCAGCCGACTATATTCACCCTCTAGCCCATTTCAATTGCAGTTCCCTAAGAATTACTTACACACACACACACACACACACACACACACACACACAAGCCCCTAAGTAAGTAGTATCTTCAGGACACATTATCAGTAATCAGTTTTAAAAGATTAAGAAAATAGGGATCTCAGCCCAAGGCTAACAAAGAACAAAGTCCATAGAAACACCTGTTAAAGAAAGCACGCCTGTTTCTGAAGAATAAGTTACTTGACAACTTAGTCTATACTGTTCTTCTGTTTCACTAAAACATCTGCGATTTAAACAAAATAAAACAAAATATCACCAAGCCACTATAACTCAGAATTGCAGGCCTGTCTCATTGAGGACCTCCGAAAAGTTTAAGGACAGGACTGAATGACAAGAGCAACAGCCAACCACCTGTGAGAGGCCTGCCTGAAGGCGGTGCCAGAGCCTCTCTCCCAGGAGAGCAAGGTCTGTGCAGACCAGAAAGTGAGACAGAGATCGCCCTGTTGTGACTTGTCGTCCCTTTCACCGCTCAGGAAAATACAAGCTAGCCCCAACGCCTTCCCAAGAAGTCTCGAAATCTGGTACTCTGCAAGGCTAGTGAACTCTCGGGAAGCCTTTCGCAGGAAGTAAGGCTGCGCAGGCGGCGACACAATGCATCCTGGGAGATGTAGTCCGCACTTGTGGCGCGCAGACTCAGTGGTAATGGAAGGAGGCTCATAATCTTATGTGATTGTAGTTTTTACTAATGAAGAATGTTTAAAGGTGTCAAAAAGCCGGGTGTTAGAGCCAAGCGGTCTCGTTTCACACCACCGAGACGGTCCACGAGTTCCTATTAGGCTGGAAGACTCTATTTTTGAAACAGTGTGTGATCGTCCCCATCTAGTGGCTCTAAAACAGATTGAGATAGCCCCCAAGTGGACAGTGGGAAGCCCTACCTGCAAACCTACTCTACAAACAGGCTGCTAAGCCCAGGAAGACAGAGAAAGAACACACATCAGTACCACTCTCCTTGAAATATAAGGCCACATGGGAAATGCTGGCCTATGGTGCGGGAGGAGGGTAGATACCCAAACCAGGATTAAAAAGCCAACCGACCCTATTTACACGTAAGGTATGTAGATTAGTAAATAAGGTACTATGTCACAGAATGTTAGTATTAAGTTTTGGATAAAAGAACTTACATTTTTATGTTTCATGCATTTTCTTATTTGGAAGGATAAAGAATATGGTAAAATATTTCGAACATAAAGCATATAGAATATATTTTTAATCGCTGGGCATCTTCCACATTATTTGAACATACTTCAGATCTTCCTTCCCCTTCATTCCTCCCCGCCCCCACCCCTATCTCCTTAAAGAAGGAGAGGCCGGGACAGGGAATTCTTTAAAACATAAGTTCTAATTGTTGATAAAGCATGAACTATTAAATATTTATTAACACTAACTTTATAAAGTTTATAAACTTTTTAAACTTAAAACTAAATTTCTACAAATTTGCTTAACTTGTTCATCATTTCTAGTAGATTTTTCATAGATTCTTTGGGATGCTTTTTATATGGACAATCATGTCATCTTCAAATTCGGTCTTACTCTTCTTTTCCAGCATGTGTGTTTTATATACTTTATGGCCTTAGTGTAATGTTAGGGCTTCTCACATCGTATTGAGCAGAAGTGCTGAGAGGAGAGTCATTGTTGCCTTCTTCCTCTGATATTAAGAGAAAGCCAGTACACGATGCCAGACTATGGATTTTGTTGCATTTGTTTTACAGGTGTCCTTTGTCCTATTTTTTGGATTTTTCACTCTATTGTCGGGTTTCTGAAAGTTAGCGTGTATATGGGCTAAGTTTTGTCAAATTCTCTGTATTTTTTTTTTTTTTTTTTTTTTTTTTTTTTAAAACTTTAAATTGTGTTTTTTTTTTGGGTTTTTTTTTTTTTTTTTTTTTTTTTTTTTTTTTTGCTGAACACTTGAAATGATGTTGTGCTTGTGGGTTTTGTTTTATTGCTGTTGATGTTGATTGACATGCCTAGGTATACTGTTTGATTCTTCAGAGTTCCAACTGGCCTTGCATTTCTAGGCTGAACCCTAGGTAATGTTAACTCTCTTAAAATGAATTAGAAGACAGTCCCTCTGCTTCTCTTTTTTTGTAGTAGTTTATGTAGAACTTGTATCATTCTTTTCCCTGTGGGTGCCATGTTACTTTCATATGTTAATTTGGCTAGGCTACAGTGCCTAGATATTTGGTCAATTTTTATAAATGTTTGTGTGAAGGTTTTTTTGTTGGTTTGTCTTTTGTTTTATTTTTGTTTTTTGATACACATCCCCTTTTGGTCAGTTTGAGTACCGAGATCTAATATGTTAAGCTTGGGGCTTTTTTTTTTTTCAAGATGGAGTCTCAATTTATTTCTGGGTGACATGCAGTTCACTGTGTAGACCAGGCTGACCCCAAACTCACAAAGTTTTACCCACCTCTGTCTCCCCTGAGGGCTAGGATTAAAGACATGTGCCACCATGCCTGGCCTAAAGTTTTGAGCTTTTAAGGTGGAAGATTTTTACCTACTATGCTGGTCAGGTTTTATTTCTACTTGACACAAGCTGGAGTCAATCTGAGAATAGGAAGCCTCAAAGGAGAATGTGCCTCTATCAGACTGCCCTATAGGCAAGCCTGGGAGGCATTTTCTTGATCAATGATTGATACGTGAGGACAGCCTCTGTGGGTCCAGAGCAAGCTGAGCAAGCCATGAAAACAAGCCAGTTAGCAGCACCCCTCCATGGCTCTGCTTCAGTTCCTGCCCTGACTTCCCTCAGTGATGCACTGGAACCTGTAAGCCTGACAAACCCTTTCCTCCCCAAGTTGGTTTTTAAGACACAGAAAGTTGGTTTTTTATCACAAGAAATAGAAACCTAATTATGACATGTGAAAATCAGTCTCTTTATTATTTATAGGAGTTATAGTATTTGCTGTTGAGTCAGCCTTAGTAGCTTTTAGAGCTGGGCATGGTAGAATACATCTGTAACCCCAACTTTTGAAGGTAGAGGTCAGATGTTCAGTGTCATCCTCAGCTTCACTGCAAGTTCAGAGACACCTTGGGCTGCCTGAGACTCTATCTAAAGCAAAATAAACAAAAAATATAAAAATTACTTTCTTTAAGAAATTTGTCCAGGTGCCAACAAGATGGCTTGGTCAGTAAAGACACATGCCACTAAATAAAATATGATGACATGAGTTGAATGCTAGGATCTACATGGTGGAAGAAGAAAATTGACTCCTTCAAGTTGTCCTCTGACTGTAGTACACAAACCAACAAAGGTACACACACACACACACACACACACACACACACACACAGCATGCCGCACGCATAATAAATAAATATTTTTTAAAATGTGTCCATTCATCTGTGTTATAGAATGTATGGGTATAAAGGTGTTGCTATAGTCCCTTATTATCCTAATAATGTCCGTAAGTTTTGTAATAATGTCCCATCTTTCATTCCAGATATTGGTTCTCTCCTCTCTTCTTCCCACCCCACCCCAGGTTGGTCTTGATAAAATTTTATAAATTTATTGATTTCTTCAATTTTATTGAATTGATTTTTCTCATTTTGTTTCTATTACTTTTCTCTGAACTTCTGGTCCCTTTTCCCTCCTATTTGCTTTGGTTTAGTTTTCCTAGCTTCAGTGGAAATGTAGAATGTTAATTAAAGACTTTCTTCTTTCCCAGTATAATCATTTAATATACAGTATAAATTGCTTTTTAGCATTTGCATGGAGTATCCATGAACTTTGACATATTTTGTTTTCATGTTCACTCAACTAAGTTCCTTTCTAATATACCTTAAAACTTCTTTAACTAATGAGTTACTTGAAGTATTTCCTTGATTTATAAATGTCTTTCTTTGAACCATTATACATTTTAACAATTATTTTCTATATAGATGTTTAGTTTATCCTAATTAATATACGGTCTCCTTTGTCAAGTTATCAAGTATCAGTCTGTCAACACTGACAAATTAAGTCCTCAAATGTTTAAAAGATTACTTTTGACATGTTATGAAATCTCAAAGAAACATGTTTGCACACTCTTTGCATTCTATCTTATCAAAGTTACTCTATTACTTTATAGCTGTCAGACTTTTATTCCTTTATGAGAAAACTTTTTTCCTTCTAATTCCGTGTTTTAGGATTTTTTTCTTCATCCTCAGAATTTAAGCGTGTGTGTGTGTGTGTGTGTGTGTGTGTGTGTGTGTGTGTGTGTGTGTGTGTGTGCAGGTATGCACGTGCCATGGTCTGATAACAGAGGTGTGAGAAGAGCTTCGTGGAACCTATTCTCTCTCTCTGCCTTTACCTGATTTCTGGAGTTCAAATACAATCTTAGGGTTTGTGTACCAAGCACTTGGCCCACCAGTCCATCACTGAGTGGCACAGGCTTGATGTGAACAACTTTAGCACTCCAAAGCTTTCCCCAGCCTTCCCAATCAGTATCCTCAGTGGACCACTCTGCGGAGTGCCACCACATCAGGTTAGTGCTGCTTGTCCTTGTCCTTGAACTTCATAGGATCAAATAGCCTGTACTTTCTAGACATGATAGTGTCACATTTCTCTCTTGTAATTCATTAATTTTCATGGCTAGAAAGCATTCAGTTGTATCAATATATCATAACATCATGTCCCATTTTATTCCTGATGGACATGTGAGTTGTTTTGATTTTACATTTTCTCTTAAATAAAACGACGGCATTTGCCTATTCTTAATAGGTATAAGCACCCACTCCTGGAAGATTCAAAGATGAAATTGCTGAATTGCATACAAAACTCCATTGATGATGTTCTTGTTTTCCATTTTACTACGTTTACTACATTCTTCTTAAATTTCAACTAGCTCTAAGTTTTCTTTGGAGATTAATACATATGGAGATGGCCAAATTTCATGTAAATTACTTCCACATGCTCCATATTGAGTGGAAAATTCCTCACAGATTCTAACAAATGGTGGTTTTGTGTTTTGTTTCTAAAGTTACAATGACCTTTCATCTATTTTCATTAGTGGATTTTCATTAGTATCTTAGTAGGACTGTGGGATTTGGCTAACCAGACCTCCTTGTCCTTCTTTCCCTTCCTTGTAAATGTTTGTGTAGGGGAAACTGTAACCACACCTGCTAGGGGCTGTCTATGGGTGTGCCTGACCATGCCTGTGAGGGTGTGGTCAGGGTGATGTAGGGAAGGTTTAAGAGTGAGGGGTGTGTACGTGGAAAGTCCCTTCTTCCGTTTCATCTTCGGCTTCCTGTACTTACTGCTGCCCTGCCGGCTGGCTAGGTTGCTCTGTAAATAAGGCTTTTCCCTAATAAATTCCCTTGTATTTTTACCTAACTCCGTATTGGTAATTCCCACAATATGTTTGCTTCCTGGTGTTTCCTCCCTGGCTTTCTTCTCTCGATGTGTTTTATTCCACTCCAGGCAATCTCAGCCACTGTGTTAGGGGATATTTATTTACACTGTAAAGATGTGTCTCTACCTAAGGTGCCTTCTGATTGGTTTAATAAAGAGCTAAATGGCCAATAGCTAGACAGGAGAGAATGGGCAGGACTTCCAGGAAGAGAGAGAGAGAGAGAGAGAGAGAGAGAGAGAGAGAGAGAGAGAGAGAGAGGGGAGAGAATCTATGTGTGGGGTTTTGCCAGCAGACTGGGAGCAAATTGGATGTGCCATACTAAGAAGAGGTAACCGAGTCATGTGACAGAACATAGATTTAAAACAATATGGGTTAGTTAAGTTACAAGAGCTAGTCGAAAAAGCCTAAGCTAAGGAAAGCCAAATTTTCACAATTAATAATAAGTCTCTGGGTCATTATTTGTGGGCTAGTAGAAATATAGTACAAGAAAGTTTGCTACACCACCTGCTTAACTTCTGATAAAAACTCGGTAGCTATGTTCCTGATTTCCTTGCCTAGATATCCACCTGCCATCAGCACTGAAAATGGTCTCCAGTTTCTATAGGTTTACCAAACTTGTCTGTCTGACTAAGCCCATTTTGTTACCATCACTTTTTTACCCTTTCTGTGATTGAAAGCATTCATCAAACCCAGTTATCCAAGGTGTAAGTCCAGGAAATCCACATCCACTGTGTTCTAAGAACTCTGATTCTTAAATGCTCTCCATTTCCTCCTTTCCCTCCCATCCTTACTGTAGCTCAGAACCCAGCTTACACTACTGCATTATCACATTGACTGACTTCCTGCTTCACACAAATTCTCAGCATCATCCCTGCCCTAACCTCCCTGCCTCTCCAGCCACCACTGCCAGTCTTCACCAGCTCACATGCGTCCCAGGGCCCAGGTGCACTAAACTGACTACCAGCACTTCTTTGGATAAATTATGACATTTAATGACTTGATGTCTGGTGTACATGCTACACACTCTGTTCTGAATTCTTCCCTCCCAATGCTCCTTGCTGCAGGTAGACTTACGCAGGTTACACTTATGCTCCTTCAGAATTCTTTTCTTTCCTCTATTTTTAAATTTAAATTAGAAACAAGATTGTTTTACATGTCAATCCCAGTTCCCTCTCCCTCCCCTCCTCCCCTGCCCCCCACTAACATCCTACCTATCTCAACTCCTTTCTGCTCCCCAGCGAGGATGAGGCCTTCCATAGGGGGTCTTCAGAGTCTGTCATATCCTTTGGGATAGGGCCTAGGGCCCCCCTCCCCTTGCCGTGTGTCTAGGCTGAGGGAGTATCCCTCTATGTGAAATGGGCTCTCAAGTTCCATTCCTATGCTAGGGTTAAGTACTGATCTGCTACAAGAGGGCCCATAGATTTCTGAGGCCTCCTCACTGACACCAACATTCGTGAGGTCTGGATCAGTCCCATGCTGATTTTCCAGTGATCAGTCTGGGGGCCAAGAGCTCCCACTTGTTCAGGTCAGCTGTTTCTGTGGGTTTCACAAGCCTGGTCTTGACCATTTTCCTCATCACTCCTCCTTCTCTGCAACTGGATTCCAGTTCAGTTCAGTGTTTAGCTGAATTTCCTCATCTACACTTGTTAATCTGCAGGAGTCTAATGTTTCTGTCAGTGCTCAAACTCCAGTGGTGGGAATTTTAATTTAAAGGGATTCTTGACATTATGATTGGGGTTTTAAAACTTAAATGTACATTAAATATCACTTTTGAAAAACAAGGTAAGAAAGGAGAATAAAATATATTTGATGTCACCATTTGTACCTCAAGATAAAAATATTAGCCATGTTTTTCATAAACTTAAAGAGTTTCTTACAAACATGTATCTTAGCTTCAAGCAAGTCTTCTAAGTTTTGAAGTTAGAGATTATATTTCTCATATAAGTCTCAATAGCTTTTGAGAAAATACCTGCTTTTCCCTTTATTGAATAGAAGGATCTCACAAGACAAAATATACTAGTTAAATAAAAGAGGTAAATTAGTTTTGTTGCACTTGTGCTTTTAAATTATTGGTTGTCTTCACAGAATCAGAGAGGCATGGATTCTAGCAAGGCAACCCTTGGGAAATTGAATCTACAGTCATGAAATGTATACTTGAAACCAAAGGATAAGGCTATTAGAGAACTTAGATAAATCCTGGAAAATCTGGGGCTTGGAATATGGCTCAGTAGGTAACATCCCTGGCATGTGAAAGAAGAACCTGAGTTTGGACCCCCAGCAACCACATAAAAGCTGGGGATGGTGGCTCAGTATGCCTGAAACCTCAGGATTAGGATACAGAGACAGATAGATCCCTGGAGCTCATTGGCTAATAAGCCTAGGAATACAGATGGATTTCAAGGTCAGTGAGAGACCCTGTCTCAAAAAATAAGGTAGAGAGCAATTGGAAGATACCCAGTGTTGACTGCCAGGCTCTGCACACATACCCACACACCCCAGTGTACAACCCCAAACAAAAATTCAAAGAAGGAAAAACTGGAAATCTCTAAAATGTAAGTATAAGCAAGTAAACACATAATTTAAAGCATTTGTTTTGTGATTTTTATGTGTTCACTTATTTAAAACTTCACTGTTAGAGATTGGATCTATAACTCACTAGTAGAACTGACCACTTAGTAAGTCCTGCATTTAAATAAAGGAACCCAACACCACAAAAAGTACATGCACATAAGATTTGAATAATAATATTATGGATAGCATTAATGCTTTCTTTATGTTAGTGATTTGCCTTCATTAGATTAATATATCATTAAGTAAATAGTAATATGTGATAAAAATTAGTAAGTATTAAAAAATAGAAGCAGTTAACTCTCAGTTATCTATATATAGAGAGGAAAAGGCTGGGTTCAAATCATTTAGAATTAATTATCCCTCCAGTTAGATGGAGGCAATGGCCCCAGATGTCAACCAAACATCTGCACTGCAGAGAACAGCTGCAATTACAAATAAATTACCTAATGAAGAAGAAATTTTTAAATAAAAAGAATCACATTTTTCCTCAAAAAAACCTGTAGCCAAATTTTGATCTAACATAGAAATTTTGTCATGTCTTCTGCTTTCCCAGATCCACAGACATGGAATGTGTACTG